AAAAAAAAAAAAAAAAAAAAAAAAAAAAATTAAAAACAAGGTATGAAATTGTTATATTTACTTGAATTAATTTATTTATATATTGAATCCATTATGAATATCCATTTTGTTACACTATGAATTAATTAACTTACATTCAACTAATTTAATTTTTTACCATTAATTAATTTATATATTGTATACAGGACTTGCAGTATGAATTAATTAATTTGCATCAATGAATTTAATTTTTTGTCATGATATGTTTTAGGGGAGATTCTACGGTTCCGTTATGGAAACATTCCGTCGGGATTTGTAACTGTTAGATCAACTATTCACGACGGTTACATTGTGATCTAACGGTTACAAATCCCGACGAAATGGTTCTGTAACGGAACCGTAGAATCTCCTCCATAATTAATTATATATGATACTTTAATTTCACAGCAGTTCTTCAAAACGTACTATGGTACATATACTCGAAGTCCTTTTATTCCATCAATTTCTTCACACTACTGTCAACATGAATTAAACAAAGTGGTCAAGGTTTATCTTAGTGTACATGACTTTGAGGTGACCTTTTTTTAAATAAAAGAAAAATAGTTGATTATTCATAAGTGCCACGGTTTTTGTAATGTCTACAAACTTATATTTTTTTCAGTACAAAATTCATGATTGAAGTGAAAAACGTTCAGAAGTTGAATACAAGAAAAAATTAAGGCGATAAGTAATTATATTTGAATGTATAGTTTTTGTATGTCCTTTGTACTTTTCTAAAGAAAACAACTTTTTATTTCTTAGCACAACAATTTCATTCTTGCTTAATTTCAATGTATTAATTTATGTTTGGTATTGGTATATAGCACAATTTTTTTGTTGTTCTAGATTATATCAATTTAATATGATTGTTCAAATTTAATTTTCACTTAGTTTTATGAATTTATCATGGTTAGTTTTATGTTGACGATTGCTTTGTATTATTATGAACATGAAAATAATTAAAAATATTAATACGACGGTTGTCCTCTTACGAACAAAAAGAACATGGATATAAAGAAGTATTGAATAATATTTAATCTTTTATTTGTATGATTATACTTTATTTATTGACGTCAAATTCTTTTAGTATGTCCCGTGCATTTGCGCGGGCAACAATACTAGTTAGCATAAATAATCGTAGAGACGTGAATGGAAAACTGAAAACGGGAGCAATAAAAGTAGAGCAAATTTTAAGATTATAGTATTGAACAACTTTTTTTTTTTTTTTTTTTTTTT